ATTTCATTTACTTAAAACTATATATTTATTAAAGTATTTCTAAGGAAAAATTTTCTAGTAAAGCAGAATATAAGAAATAAGGAGAAAAAGCTCCCCAAAACTCTAAGTATGGCTTGTTCTGTCAACTAATATTCATGGTAAAGTCCTATTTCAAGGAAATTTTCTCATAAAATGTATTTTGGAGACTCAATCCACTCAGAATATTTCATTATTTGTAATATTTCACTTAAATAGCAAGAAATTTTAACACATGAGAGTACTCACAAGGTCAAAGGTGCATGTACAGCTTCCCATATTAGGTGTAATACCACCATTGATTTTCCCCTATTAGTCTTTGTTAAATTTGCACTTTTCAAAAAATTGTGCAGAATTTATCTTTGTTTCAAATAAAGAAATACTTGGCATGAGTAAAGATTTATCCTGTCCAGTACTATAGAAAAAATTTCACATAACATTTCATTGCATATAAGAAAATAACCATCACTGGAAGTTAACCAATCAAATTTTCCCCCTTTTTTAACCTGTGTAGAAGCTTTAGTAACCATGTAACCTCAAGTTTCCAAAATATTCTATAGAAACTCCAAATAAAGAAATAATGGTGCTTTGAAATACCCAAGATATATGTTTATGACTCAGAAATGTTTTACTGCAATGAAATGTAGGATCAATTATCTACAACTGTCAAATTCAAGGGAATATTTTTTTTCGACCTATTTTCGTATGCAACCGGATGTGACGTACTATGATTTGGTGGTATGACACCTTAAGTGAGTTATCCATGTGACAAAACCATTTAGTTTTTTAGGCATCCGCTGAACCCTGAAATGAGGCCAAGGGCAATGAATATATGACAGAAAGAAACTTCGTATCGTAATGGATTTGTTTATTAAGCATAAATCTTTCATGTCCTCTACCCTCTGAAATAAAAAGCTTTATTCAAATAGTTAACGCCACCACCGATGCCACCGACTGATAAGCATTAGTTTGTCTCGTACTCTGAGACTTAATTTGCCAATTTTCTCTTAACATATATACACCATTACATATTATGCATTATGCAACTTTGCAATATTTTACTAGTCCCCTACCCGTACTTGTTTTTGTGTTAACAAAGTTCATTTCTATTTTTTTTTAAATCAATTGGCTATTTTTCATATTATGAAATAATATGAACTTCTAAATATTATAAAAGAAAAACAGATTTTCAAAATTATATTGACGTCCTACACATACTTTTGAAGTTTTCACGTTCACACAAATTGTTGACGGACAGACGAGCAGATAGATTGACGGACGGACGGACAGAAGGACAGAGTGAAAACTATAGGACCCCGCGTCCTCAAAGCGGGGTTAAACTTGATTAGTCTTTTTCGGCCATTTCGGAATTCATTATATAGTTTATAATTATGTATAAATGAAATGCTGTGTGTTGAACTATTCAGTCTTAATTCATTGCCATGGCAACTAAAAGTACAAATTTATAAACCAACTTCATGATTGGTGTTTATCCCTAGTCCTGATTACACAATCGTGATCCTAAAAATTGCCCTTTTGACACAGTTCTCAAAGGATTACAAATGTGAGCATACATAGCCTTAAAAATTCATATTTAATTATCACAATTTTGCCAACTGACTAATTATGATAAATGCAATCTTCGTACGCGGCCGTGTTAAGTTCTTTTTTCAAGACATTTTGGATTTTAATGACTCTGAATAACACTGTCTCATTTCGAAATGTAAAACTAAAAACTGCAAAACCTGTAAAATTTAAATAACAGATGCTTAAATCACTTGCGATTTAATTACAAAATCTTATTTTACCAGAAGCTACGATGATCTGAATTATAAATCAACAAATCTTGTATACGGATTAGAGTGCAACCTTTGCGGATTGGTGCATGTCAGCGAAACGAAAGGGAGGCTTAATAAACGTATGTGCGGTCATAGATCAGACATCAACAAAATTGCAAGCGACATTGTTTACCAGCATTTTAATCAGCTGATCATTCAATAATTTCTATGCAAGTTCGCCTCTTCGAAAAATTATACCACAGGACTAACAAACCCTATTTTGCAACACCTTTTCGTAGACAAAAAAGAAGACTACTGGATTTGATAGTTGGGAACTGCGACACCATATGGTATTGATGGTATAGGTATTCTATCTAGTCTTTCCTTTAGCTCAGTGAATGTGATGATCATTTTCAGCTCTACTCCTCGACGTAGACGCAGTCATGGTCATGGTACATCACCTACTCTCCATGATGTCTCTAATAATGACCTGCTGCCATTTATACAAAAGCCGTTAGGTATTAGTAAAATTCGAACGAAGCTTTATTTCATTACCCCTTTCAAAAAGTCATCATCTGTACAACTAATGTTTGGAAACCACTGTTACAAACCCACATTCAAACCAATACAAACTTACAGCTATCATCTCGGATATTACTTGTCACCGACTTTTCAAACCAGTTCGCATTTAAAAAGATGAAAAGGAGAAAAGATCCTGTCTAAAACTTTCCTTTTCTACCAAGGGTCTCGATGCCATCAATTTGGGCAATACCCTACATCATAAATCAGTTCACTCGAAAATACCTCCCTATTTTAAAGATCAGTATGGGTCTATCATTTCTTTTACCTATACCAAACCAATTGCAACTAAAAGTTTTGATTACAAATTCGTGTTGCAGGATCTCAACATTGACGACTTCAAGTCTTAACCTCCTGATTGCATCTGTGATATGGTATATATTCCCTATTCATATGTAAACCGGATAGCCACGTTAATACTGGTGACCTAAACATTGTCAATAACACTTATCTGCGAAATATGTTATCTTAATAATGGCCGAAATAACGTAAGCTTAAATCCATCAATTGGAAACAAAACTTCAAAATACTGATGGATTCAGTCAAGTTTTATGCTAGGTAATGAGTTAAACACGAGAAAGAAGACATAGATACTCTTTCCGAATGGATTAAGGCTGTAAGGTTGTTGATACAAATCAGAATTAAAAAATTGAATTGGTCTATGAATAACCACACTACATCAATCCTTAAAGAGCCAAATGGTGTAAAACACCTGTCGTACCTCCATGACAAATGTCGTTGTCTCCGCAAATATAGCTCCAAACTACATCGTTCTAGTGTGTGAATCACATAACATAAACTGCTTGATAAATGAATTAGGTATTGACAATTCACTTGGAAACTCAACATATACCCCCAAGACACTTACCAAGGATGATGATGATGGATGGCTGCTTAAGGGCAAATTGATATGCATATTCAGAACGAGAACATGTTAATTTAAAATGAATATTTACCCTGCTTTGTCGTACACCGACACGCTGAACACTTTATTCTGACTCCGAGCTGACCAGTGTTTGCTCTTACTCCTTAATTCCGGAGGAAATACCAATTTTAATGTCTTTAGTTTGACCCGGCAGGGGTTCGAACCCACGACCTCCTGCGCTCGAGGCGAACACGCTGCCACTAGACCACCGATGTGGTTTACTTACTTACCAAGGGGGAAATGCTGGATAATCATAGGTCTGTTCTATGTTACTTTGGAATTTCAGCCAAAGATGAAGAACGGGATCTTCCTTCACTGTATTGAATACCTAAACTACATAAGTGTCCTAACAAACAACGTTATTTTGCTATGTTTTCCATGTGCTCCACAAAAACTCTTTCTAAATTATTAACATCAATTTTATCAGCAATCAAAGCCGGGTTTCAAAGTAATTGTGAAACTACATATTCTATAGGTGTCGTGAATAATGTTTGGGAACCACTGTTCTCATCTTGCAATAGTATCAAAACATTTGACTTTCTACACTTTACACAAGTATTCCCAATTCTAAAGCTAAAAGACAAATTGGAAGAGTTGGTCCTGCTTTGTTTCATAAAAAAGAATGGCCAATGGAGATACAAGTATCTTGTCGTAGGAAGGGATACATCGTACTTTTTAAAAAATCACTCTGATTCGAACAAAGCATTCTCTGAAACTGACAATATCAAGATGCTTGCTTGACAACATATTTGTTACGTTTGAAGGACGTGTTTTTCAACAAACAATCGGCATTCCCATAGGAACCTCCTCTTGCCGATTTGTTCCTTTATTCATGTGAGCTGACTTCATACAGGAACTTCTTAGGAAGAAAGAATAGAAGTTAGCTTCACTTTTCGCTATATAGATGATGTTCTCTCAACAAATAATTCAAAACTTGGTGAATATGTTGAACGCATCTATCCAATCGACCTTGAGATACAGGATAAAACAGATACAGTTAAGTCTGCCTCATATCTTGACTTACATCTAGAAATTGACAATAAGGGTCGGTTTAAAACAAAAACTTTACGACAAAAGAAATGATTTCAACTTCCCAATTGTGAACTTTCCATTTCTATGTAGCAACATTCCAGCAGCAACTTCATACGGAGTATATATCTCCCAGTTGATACGATATTCCAAGGTTGTATTTCCTATCATGATTTCATTGATAGAGGGTTACTTCTCACAAGGAAGCTACTAAACCAAGTGTCTCAAGTTGTGAAGTTGAAATCAACCCTTCGTAAATTTTACGGACACCATCACGAGTTGGTTGAACCGTTTCGAAATATCCATTTCACAGATGACAACGGATATGTTCCAATTATCGTAACTACAATCCCGTCTTATATCCCCAAATGTGAACTACCGAATTAGACTTATCACCGGGTTTGTACTAACATGCGCAACACGACGGATGCCACATTTGGAACAGGATCTGCTTACCCTTTCGGAGCTACTGAGATCACACCCATTTTTGGGGGCAGCTAATTTTGAAGGAAATAGCGGGAGAACCCAGAGAGAACATCGAAAAGAAAATATTTCTATTCGATTTTGAAAATATAAGAACCCTCAGACTTATTGAATTTTATCCTTAAAGATAATTAACAAAAATTAAAATCAACAGGTATTTTGACCTGTCCTACTTTAAACCACGAGCTTACCACATTCACCAGTGAACAACATAATGTTGTCTAATGCGATGTCGCCTTGGAATTCGTCTCCATCAATACCGTTAAACATAATCTGAAATAAAATTGAACATGGGATTATATTTTTCCTTAATAAAGCAATGCATGAATAACAGTAAACGTTAAGTCTAAATATCTGTATGGTACATTAAATAAGAATCAATCATCTACTTAAAATCTTATCTTCTTTCTCTTTAATGATACCCTTCATCTTCGTTCAGTTTAAATACTTATGAGGGAAACTGTGAAAACCAACCGTAGAAAACTGTGGAATATATTTCGTTTGATAGAGTTTTTCTTCGATTTCAACGGTAAAGGTTAACAACAAATTTAAGTATAAAAGTTTTTCATACACTTTGATACATTTCCCCTCAATCAAAACACATTGGTATCAAAGCAACCACATAAGAAGATAACTAAGAGGTAACAGTTGTTAACCGATGGTCAAATCTTGTAATTCCATTTTGAACTTATCAAGTATTATCTAATGGTCTACACATATTCTATAGTGTAACTGTATAAGTTATCAAACCAGCAGGCACGTTATATTATTTGCTTATGCCAGAAAAGTGTTGCACCAAAACAGTATATAAAAATAAGGTAATATGGTTTGATTTCCAATTAGACAACTACCCACCGAAGTTCAAATGGAGTGGATGTAAGCAATTACAGGCAAGCATACGGCCTTCAACAATGAGAAAACCCATACCCTTTAGTCGGCTATAAAAGAGGCCGACATGCAAATATGAAATAATTCAATTGAGAAAACTAACGGCCTAATTTATAACAAAAGTATTTACGAAAAACAAAGATGATAGACATGAACTAACGATAACCACTGAATTACAGGCTCATGACTTGGGACAGTCACATAAAGAATTTTGCGGGGTTGAATATGTCTGTGAGCGCTCAACCCTCCTATAACCGAGAACAGCGATTTACAGCACAACATAATAACAAACTACTAGTATTAAAATCAGTTGAAAATGGCTTGACTCATCAGATCGATACAATGCGAAAAACATCTAACAAAAACACATACAGGACGTGGTAGCTAGGGTATTTATACATCCCTAACAACAAACTACACAAAGTATTGATCTGATAGTACTCGCAGTTATTGACAGCTAGTTCAAAGCCAATAACAACTAATAAAAGAAATCATGTATCTAAGACTAATATATCAATCAGTACACACCTAACATCCCATGGATTTAGTGTAAAGACGTCATTAAAAGTCAGAGAAAAACATGACCATATGCGATGCCAAGCTATAGGTTTGACAGATTGTAGTACCGTGAAAGTGCATTTGTGTATAGCCAGGGGTCGAAATTAGCGCTGGTCCGGTGGTCCGGGACCAGTAGAATTTAAGTCGGACCAGTAGATTTTTTCAGCTAGTGGTCCGGCGGACCAGTTGAATTTTTTCGATAAAATTCTCTGATTGCATCACAATCTCAGTTTGTTTACATTACAAATTACCTGAGAAATCAATAACGCGATACTGGAGGTATAAAAATTGATTACATTAATTAATATCTCTGGTGTTCGTCCTTCACAATAAACAAAATATGGAAATTTTCGGAAGGGGTTAAAACTTTCTCAAAATCAGGATGCAAAAACTTCTTTAACCAATGTATAATATATGTAAACAAAGGCATGAAAATAAAAGTAAGCATCTTTAATTTATGTTGGAGTTTGTCAAATGTATTTTTTTCAGGACCAGTAGATTTTGTGCAGGACCAGTAGAGTTTTCAGTCCACTGGTCCGGCTGGCCATTACACAAAAAACCTTAAATTCGACCCCTGATAGCGATACTGTTTAGTATGGTATTAATTAACTGATAACAAAATCAATATTTATACCAATAAAAACAATATATAAAGATCTAATTATAGTGTTGAATTGGTAACTTTTTAGAATAAGATTATAAAAATGATTGATAAGTTTACCCGGATCGTATATGAATTTCCGGGCTCGGTAAACAACATCACCACAACATTAAGGATGTGCTATTCCGTCTGAATAGTACAGCCAAACTTCAAAATCAAATCTGTGTATCTATGGAAGAATTTGGGTAAGGTTTTGAGATTTAGTCGTATTCCAACATTTATAAAAGGACTACACAACTGATGTACCCCTATTATTGACAATTTTACCTCTTATGTCTGTTTGTTTTGTTCACACATTGTTGTCAATATAATAAAATTGTATGCGACTGTCATAGAAGTGAGAGGTTTAGCTAGCTATAAAACCAGGTTCAATCCACCATTTTCTATCTCAGAAAATGCCTGTTCCAAGTCAGGAATATGACAGTTGTTATCCAATCGTTTGATGTGTTTGAGCTTTTGATATTGATTAGGGACTTTCCGAATTGATTTTTCCTCGAAGTTCGGCATTTTTGTTATTTTACTTTTTGCATGATTGATCTTGAAGACCAGTTTTTACATTATGCTTCAGAAATTGAAAAGATGATATGAACACGATCAGTGACATGTTTTGCTGTAGGATAATATGAAATATACCGACAAAAAAGGTTTATTTTTTCTACGGATATTCTACATGAATACAAATGTATAAGATACAATTTACAATTAATGTTTGGATAGCAACAAACCTGTAAATTACTTGCAGGCTGAATGTACAGCTTCTTATAATACCATTGGTTGCCATGATCACCTGACTTTGTAAAGATGGTCTGATTTGTTCCCGAAAAAGAGACTATCACCTCCAATGTCCCTATGGACTTACCATACATGTGGTAATAAAATGACAAACACAGCTTGTCACCTGTAACAAAAGAAATCAACCAAAACTTTGAAATTGTATTATAAATGAAAGAAAGAACCAATACTTATAAAAACTCATCAGAGATACAGGGCTTTTGATTATAAATAACTCATGCAGACACACGTTTAATATCACATGCTCATGCACAAAAGAAACGTTACACGTGTACATTTATAAATATCGCAATTCTGGCATGATATTTAAAGAGACCTGGCATAATACAATTAATGCATGTGTGCCTAAAATGTAATGGAATAACAAATAACAGGTAAATAAGCATCTTACAATTCATTCAAAATGTCTAGAATGTTCATTTAGTGATGAACAGGTAAAAGTATGAAATAGTATGAGACTTACTCTTGCAATATAAATATTAAATGGCGAATGAAAGAATATGAAAGTTTATGTCTTTCAAATATCTGGAATTGTTTGTTAAAGAACTACATATATGTAAGTGTATATTTCTTCAGATTAGCAATAATTTTGCTTTAAACACATGGTCCTCTTCTTCAGTAAATTCATCATTTTAAATCAAGCAGTATGTGCATGTTATTGCATGTTATTGTAATTTCCAAATATAAAAACTGAAAGGATAGTTTTAAACAATATTTATGAACTTTTCACTTGTTAGAGACATTTAAAACTAATTTGGTCATCAACACAAACAGTTATTACCTGGATGGAGGATGCTTGAGATAAGAAGAGCATTGCCAAAGTTATCCATATCCGAGGTTTCAATATACATGTAGTAATAACCAGCTAACGCTCCGTTTGGTCCAGTCTTTAGGGAAGGTGTACCATCCTATAAAACGTACACAACCTGATATTAAAGAATTAAAAACTTAAACTATCAAGCTTATAATCTCGATTCTTACACTCTTAGACATCAAAAAAAGTAAAACAACAAAAATACCGCACTCCAAGGAAAATTCAAAACGGGAAGTCCCCAAACAATTGGCAAAATCAAAAGCACAAACACATTGAACGAATGGAAAACAACTGTCATATTCCCAACTTGTTACAGGCATTTCCTTATGTATAAAATGGTGGATTAATCCTGGTGTTAAAGATAGATAGTTCATCGATATCACTTGACAGAAATTGTATTATTTATGCCATCTTAATAGCGAAGGCATGTCGGTAACATGAATGAGTTTAAAAATGAAGGTTTATGAAATGACAAACAAAAAAATCACTGCATGCGGTATCTGTTTTGAAGAACAGCATTCAGGGTTATAAAGATTGCAATCATATTAAACTAGAAGTATTTATTGCCAAAGGTTCAAACAATCAAAATGCATAAAAATTGCTGTTATAATGATAGTTAAAAATATCAGATTAAAGAATAGTTTTTATCTGTACAGAACTGAAGCAATATTTAACTGACCATAACATTATTGGAAAGGTGTTTAAGTGTTTATGCAAAATAATTGTAGGCGATCAACGATACACTACTGTTATTTTCCTTGGTTTTAGTTTGTAACCCGGATTTTTTTCTCTCAATCGATTTATGACTTTAGAACACCAGTATACTACTGTTGCCTTTATTTACCATAACTAAACAGGTGCATCAATGGAAAAATTAACTTAAAACAATTAATTGCCCCAAACTTAATTGTCTGATATATAATCCCTCATTAGCATTCAGTGATACAAGTTCAACGTATGGGAAACATTGGATTAAATAGTTCAAATCTGTCCAAAATTAAGGATACACCTCTTCAATCTCTGTGCAATCCCAGTGCGAAGTTTGAATAAAGTTTAAGAAGAACTGTTGGAGTTAAGCATACCACAGACTAGATATCTTCTGTCTAATTTCGACGAACCGACAGAGTGGAATAGTCACTGGGGATGCAGAAAAAAGTAAGACATAAGAAATACTGCATTTACAAAATTATCGTGTTGACACAACATTTCAATCACATCATATCATTATCAACAAATTTTCTTGATAGATCTGTCACCGATTTTGAATCTATGAATTTTCATTTATGTGCTATGAGTTTTAATTCTTTTAGAAAATTTGGTTTTCATTTAAGACAACGGAACATCAATATTTAACAACAAAAAATTGTAAATCAACTATTATTTTATTGTCTTTTCATATACAATTTACAGAAAGGTGATGGAAAAAATAAAGAATCAATTTGAAAAACAAAAGTCCATTCGATTACTTTATAAACAAGAATGCGTGCGCATAGGGCGTGGCATGGCTACATTTTCAGATTTATATGTTAAATGAACTGTTAAATCAAGGTCAGATAAAGACAACAATAGTTTACCAAAGTTCAAATCTCACAATTTGATTAAGGAGACCCACCAGAGTAACAAACAAAACCAGAGGGAATCACATGAAACCAAAAGGAGTTAGACCGGGTGCACCAACAGGGTAAGCGTTTTCTGCGATGCATACGAACCCACACTAAGTCAAAATATCACAATCGAGAATGTAACATTATTGTTTAAAACTACAAATAAGGCGACTGTCCTTGTATCTTAAGATCTAATATTACAAAAACATGTGTATGGTGAGTTGAGACACTGATATATCGTATTGGTCAACCAATTCATGGTGTGACCGATAAATTAATGTTGTGTCGATTCCAGTCGTTCTTCCAAATAATTCTGTTGGATCCGTTTTTTGTGTAGAAACGTAATATGGCTAATTAAGTCCTTATATCATGATTATGAAAACCGTAATTTTGCATATCATTTGAAAAATGTGCATTTGAATATGTGTACTAAGTACTATTGTGACCATACTTCTTGGTAAACTTTCGTGAAACAAAAACTTAACCTAGAAATGAACTGGATTTCAACTATTACATTTACACATTCCGTAAAACTTGAAATCAGGATCAATTTTGTAATTAGGCATATAATTTAAAAATTACATATCACCTGCATTAAAAGTGAGGCCGAAGCTACCAAAGGGATAATCAAACTCTGAAATTAAACTAACAATGCTATGGCAAATAATTGAAAAAAACGACCAAAAGACTAACAACAGTCTTCATAACAAAACATAGAATCTAAAGACTGACCAACAGGAATCGCAGGTGCACCGGAAGGGTAAGCAGATTCTGCCCATATGTAGCACCCGTCATGTTGCTCGTGTAAGAACAAATCCAGTGATAAGTCTAATTCGGTTAGTTACATTCGTGGAAAAGGGGTCAGGATTGTGGTTAGGACAATTGGAACATATCTGTCGTGATTTGTAAAACAGATATTCCATAACGGTCAACCAACTCGTTATGGTGTCCGTAAAATTTTCGATTGGATGGCTTCAACTTCATCACTTGGAACTCTTGATGAAATAGCTTCCTCGTAAGCAACATCCCCTCTTTTAATGAGTCAAACTTCACTGTATCTGTTTTATCATTTATTTCAAGTGTGATAGGATTTAGAAATGCGTTCAATAAAATCACCACATTTTAAATTATTCAGTGAGAGAATATCATTAATATGGAGAAAGTTAAAGAATAATGATAGCTTCTTTTTCTCTTCCTCAGAAGCTTATCTCTGCTCCATATGAATAAATGAACAAGTCGACAAGAATAGGAGCACAGTTGGTTCCCATGGGAATGTCGATTAAAACATGCCCTCCCCGAAAGTAACAAATATGTTGTCAAATAAGAAATAAAGCATATTGACGATGTCAGTTTCAGAGAATGTTTTGTTTGAATCAGAGTGATTTTTTACAATATACAATGTATCCCTCCTCCAAAGCAAGGTATTGGTATCTACATTGACTAGTCGTTTTAATGAAACAAAGTGGGATCGGTTTTTTCAATTTTCTTTTACTTTGAAATGGGGAATAATTGCAAAAAGGTCGAAAAGCAAAATGTGTTAATACTAATGCAATAGAAAAGAGACCTAGATTGTATGTACTGTAACAGACCTTTGGATTTTTATGAATACACTCATCTGATTCACAAACAGGACAGGTGCTAAGCATAATTTGGGTCTATAAAGATCAATGTTGCATATATATTATTAGACCCATTCAGTTTCAAATTATAGTGACAACAGCCTCCTGTTGAACTACGTTGACTAAAAACTGTAAACTGATACTTGACGGATGACCGGGATTCGATGGAATAACGGACGAATAGACAGAATAACAGACTGACGCAAAGAACAGAAAACACTATTCCTGCTTCTTTCGTCAGCGTGACGTGGCGATTCAAAATAACAAGATAACTGTCAAAGCCTTAACTAAAAGATATATTAAGGGATTCTTTTACATAAGTCTCCTAAAATCCACAATTGAAAGTTAACTAATGAGATGAAAGAAAGCCCTAGTGCATATATGATTCTCCAAGATGTTTGCTCTGAAAGGTAAATATATGTTTTACAGTAAGAATAAGTAAATTAGAATTGTAGCCATTTTAGTATAAAATGGAAATTCCGCAAATAGAAATTTCCTATTAATTACCGATTTTTTACTATTCCTGTGTTGTAAATAAGACATACAATAGACCAGGAGATATTTTAATCAGCAAAGCATTCTTAAAACTTTCTAGGCAATCAAGAACTTGTCATCAATTGATTGTTGTTTTTTGTTTTTAAGTGGATGATTAGACAGAGTAAAGCTACCCATTAGACTATTGCATAGACCACAGCATAATTAGGATGTTAACATCTTATCTATACTGTACTTACCACAGTTCTAATCCAGTCATATGTGTCCATCCCAGATTTGTCATTATAAAACAGACAGTTTGCGTCCACTGTTGATTCAAATGTACAGACACTGACGACTCCTGTAATACACAAAACTTAAAAGTATAAAGTCTGATATTAGACAAAAAGCAAACGAGTATCTGCAATAAGGCCCACGTTTGGCACCCAATTTAGTGCACATTGTAAGTTCCAATGCATCCCCTAACACGACTTACGTGATTTGTGTTCAAAATACAAAAAAATAATTACACATTTCATGAGTGACCAAGGCCATAAAGCACGACGAAATTGGTGTATTTTTGTAAACCTTTAAGTATTATTTTATCTAGTTTTGATTTGGATTGAAAATTATGGGGCACTAAACAATTTTATATTTGGTGGAATTATGTTTATAACTATAAAAAGCCAATCTGAATCAAATTATGTTGCTATGTTGCTGCGGCCAATGTTTTCACCAATGACACAATGATCAAGAAGTTGGAAATCAGTATTTTTCTTCATTTTCGTGAAATATGAGTATATGACATAATTATGACATGTGAATCTTGCCCAATCATTAACCTTCTTGATTTTAATGCATGTTTATATATGATAAACAAAGTTTGAGCAGTTCCCCTAAAACTCCATTTTTAGCTAAGTATGGACCTTACTGCCCCTTCTCTTCTTAAAAATCAGTACAATATGTAAACAGTTCTATCAGGCAATAATTATATTGGTAGACTCTTAATGCGCTACCAGTTCTACTTTGATAATGATAATTTCAAAATCAAATACTAGTAATAGGCTCTAAAATAATATGTTGGTTAAATATTAGATGGCAAGAATACACTCTTCTACAGATTGAGGGAAGGGCTTAACATGCTGTCAAGAACGAAAAGCAAACTGGATCTGTAAATCATCAAGATATGCTTATAAGCAGATTTAAAGGGGCAGGTCATTATCTATAGACATAACGAAAACAAGACTGTTAAACTGTTGGTTTGATTATTATAGGGCATGGGTTATACTATAAGTTATGCTAAATGATATGTTCATCAACCGTAATGATGGATTATAATTTTGAAATTCAAGACAGTAAAAATGAGTTTGACAAGAGCATTTGAAATTAAATTACTGGAAATATTAAATAATGTTAACGATATGAAGACAAATCCGTTGATCTTTCCTTGTTCATTGCGTATATATGTCACTTATTTTTACCATTACATACTAGATTGTTCAATAAAATTTCAGACGCAGGTGTTATTCTTTGCTGGAAATGTGGCTTGTCTAAAATATGTGTTTAATATTGTCCAAGAAATATCTCTTATTAATTCTTAATAACATTTGACAATCCGTTTCATTTTGAATTTAAAAACATTGATTATTGCTACATAATTGATGTATTATTTCATATTGAAAACGACTGACGTTTTGAACTTCTCTTGGGTCTAAATGACATAATTCGCACCTTTAATAAATCAAATATAATTTTTAACCATAGAGATCAGCTCCAGTACTGTTTATTACCTAAGAAAACATATGCATATTTTCTTTTTTGTTGGATAAAAAAAAATGCGATCTTACATTGTATGAAATATTTGGTCATTGAATTTTACAATCAATAAAAATGTTAAGAAGTTTTTTAGGACATAGTTCTAGGGATTGTATACAATATAAGTAATGAAGTTGGATTTAATTTTGTAAGGTAATTGACATTGTAAAAACGAAATTTATTTCCAATGATTATCTAGTGAATCAGTTATTGTTTAAGATTTTAATTCCGTTGGTACTTATGTTTTTTAAAAACATCTTCCCGAAACGGATGTTATACATCATGTGACGGACTACGAACGTAACGGTTTCTCCAATTGGATCGTTTGGTACTTGCTGTATTTGACACTATCTTATTGAGAATAGTTACATTTGAGATGCTTTTTGAAAGCCTTCAAAACCTTAAAACTTAATTTCAGTTGTTTGAGATTATCACAAATATCAAATGTTTCAGTTCTTCCAAATGTTGGTCCATATATAATATCTCTCTCTCCAATTAGAAATACAAACTTATTTCAAAGTAAATCCATTGTAGTGTTCAACTGACTGATAGAATACTTTTTTTTTCTTAAAAAAAGACTAATAAAGGCAACAGTAGTATACCGCTATTCGAAATTCATAAATCGATTGTTAATATGATATTCTTATTAATTTGGGTTTGATATATTCGGCAGACTCACTTCTAGGCGAAAAGAAGCATTGGACGAATGTATATCAATAGCAAATATACGGAATACAAATACCAAGCAGACAAGCCGGCATAAAGGCAAAATTACCTTCACGACTTTGTCGATGATATCTATGAATTCTAGTGCGTTTATTTTTTAGAAGCAGGATTTTAGATTTAACAAACAGCTAGTTTGTGTCGTAAAACTTACTTAGTTATTTAGATGTAAAAACATGTAATTGTCGTGTCTTTTTAGAAGCAATCTGGATTTCTACATTCTTATTTTGCTTTCAAATGCCAAAAATCAATTCCTTCAAGGTGCAGTTTTCCTAACGTGATATTTTTTTTTCACACTAAAGAAAGATATTGTATCCACTTATGCTACAGTGGTTTTCTGACATATGAAAATACCTTTATCAAGTCAGTAATATGATAGTTGTTCTCCATTTGTTTGATGTACTTGAATTTTTGATTTTGCCATTTGATAAAGGACTTTTCGTTTTAAATTTTCCTTGGAGTTCGATACTTTTGTTATTTTATTTTTGTCTACATTCACTGCCAGTTTCTCAACCGTAATGAGAATCAATTGATGTTTATTGCATTTTAAGTCACTTGATAAATGTATTTGTATGTATCATTTTTTATAGAATGACTTTAAGTCGGCATTTGTATTTTCCGTACAAGCAATTGCTACGTCCAAATCTTTACTTCTTGTTGATCCATCATTCAAGCAGTTGTCAAAATCCTATGTTTTCGAGTTTGATAGAATATACGGATATTGCAGAAGACAATAGTTTGCTATGAAATAAAATTTGTATTGCGATATGATATTTTCTTTTGTCACCTAGCTAAGGCTTGACAAGTTGTCTTTGTTCATATGTTAATATTGCATATCGGTATGTCTTGTGTATCTTAGGAATAATTAGTAAGAACACATGTGAATAGTATATGCAATTGTGCATGGAACTTGAATATGCGTTCAAACTGTATAAAAATATCAGAGATATAGAAGTTTTGATATATTAAATGCCCGTATATAATATATATATTTACTTTAAAATGCCTACTCTAAACTCATTTGACATGTATTCCAAATTTCTAAATAATAATATATATTGCCAATATGATTTCCGTTTCACTGACTTATAAGTTATTGTGGCTACATAATTTATTTGACTGAATGGATCATTAAAGTATACGTGCTATATTTCATAAAAGTTGTAATAACATAATCACTTTAAAGAAAATTCGTAGGACGTGGTGTCGATAAATAATAATTTCAAATTTTTGCTATTTTTCAATTTTTTATTTTATCTTTTGGTATGATAATTTTTGATCTCGCACTAGACCAGTGATATGGGTTTTCATAACCGAGTAGAAATGGAATGTATGATGTTATGAGTCTACGTCATTGACATTGCCTAGGAAAACAACGATACACAGATTATCAATGGTATTTCAAACTCGAGTATGTTTCTCATATGGATAACATATCATGTATGGGCTTTACCCTTTGAAGAGATTGGAGCTGAGAAACACCATCTCGTTGGAAAAAAAAAAACATTTATAATCTAGAAGTTATACTTTTTTTAACTTTTGTACAATTTTTACATGTATTCTGTAAATGTATACTTCTTTTTTCCTGTATTTTGTTTACATCAGGATGTAAGTTATCATGTCGAAAAAACTCATCAGAGATACCATGCAAAAATGTCAAAGATATTTGTGAGGTTAAAAAAAACAAGTTCGTCTTACCTTAAATTTAGTAATCACATTGATATGTATGAAGACCTCCATATTCAACCATGCTTTACGTAACGAGAGTATGAATATACCTACACTTTTCAATAGTGAATATACCTACCTACCTGTTTTATTAATACATTCCTCAGTCCTTTGCCATTCTAGAAACCGTATCTTATTTTCTAACACATCACCATTATAGCTCAGTTCATGTACCGTTTTGTTGATTGAATACAAAGTACGATTTAACTCAACATTTGTTCCATTCAGCTCTTGTTTATGTTCTCCAGTAATAGCATGTAACACTTCTATTTCGCATGATAATTGTCTTTTTAAGTTTTCAACTTCATGTGTCAAATACTGCTTATCTTTTTTCAATAATTCAACTGTTTTTTCGTTATCTATGACTCTTTTAAGAAGATTGTGGTAGTTTTCTTTCATAACGTTAACGTCCAATCGGATATCAGTGATTTCCGTCTCTTTCGTGTCAATATTCAAAGAATTTTGTGTACTGGAACCAAACACATAACCGTTGACGATGCACAATAATAAAGAAAACATCACTACTACCCTCATTTCCATTTCATTAACGTCAAATAGTAAATAACCATTCTTAAATTTACATACGCCTAAGAAATAAAAATGTCTTTGTTGGATGAACGATAGATGATGTTTATCTGTGAAAAATGCAAAATAAAAAATGTTGAATATATAGTTCCTGATCTAATCTTACAGGAAGAATATTTCATTGAACGAAACTAGCTCTTTATTTCTCTTTTATAACCAAATCGTAATAAATCTGAAATTACATCATGATTCTTAAAGGACGTTTCCTCGGTAGAAGTGTGTCCTCTAATCACTGTAACTTGAAACACTTAGAATGGTAATGTATTTTAACGTTTCTTAAATTTCAGTATAATAAGTTTTTCAACTTTTGTAAAAAAATTAGTCTCTATTGCCTATTATATCTTTAGATCATAGTTCCATGAAACTTTGTGAACAGTCTTATAATGCACAAAGCTTTGATCATGCCAAGTTTTATTAAGATTGATTACATTTTTTTTATCCTATTAGGTCAGGGAACACAGTTTTTGTCTTTCGATTTTCGTTGTTTACAAATAAAGTCCCTAGTATAGACAGTGTATAACTTGCAATTTTTTAAATACAACTTCAAAAATAGTTTTTTCATGTGTTATGCCTCAACTAGCAAGTAGGAAAATGCAATTAAACGGTAAAAAATGTGCATAATGAATTTTAAAATTAAGTAGTGATTTGATCCAGTTGAAATAGGTAAAAAAATAGTATGTCCGAAGCTGTCAAACAAAAATCAAGATCCCTTTAACATGCAATTATATTTTGTTCTAGAGCGGATAAAGGTTTCTATAATTTTGACAATATTTGTCCCAAAAGTAGTACACTACACGGAAAAAATGTTATTGAGAAAGTGCAGGTACGAGTTTTTTTATTTAGATTTTTTGTTTAAAAGAAATGCACTGCAACATAACTGTGTTCTCGGTCCAAATAAATTAGGCTGCTAGTTTTTTCAATTGAATTATTTAATATTTCATGTCAGGGCCTTTTATAGCCGACTATATGGTATTTTTTTTCTCATTGTTGAAGGCCATATGGCTGCCTGTAATTGCTTACATCCACTTTATTTGAACTTTGGTGGATATTTGTCTCATTGGCAATCATACCTCATCTCCTTATCTTAATATTCCCGTTGCCGTGTTACTAGTTACACTTTTTAAGGTAAACATCTGAAATTTAATGTGATTCAATTTTTGTAGATTGGATGGGTTCAAGGACTAAAATTCATTTGTCTCGCATTCTTGACAGTCGTCGCAGGCGAGAAAAATGTTGGAAAGCAATAACAGCGTTGCATGATTATTTCTGAAATCTGTCAACCTTGCTTTTTTAGTAGGCGTTCGCTTAAAAGGCACATATTGTCAGTCTTGCATTGCTCTTTATCTTACTTATGAAACATGGAAATGGGCATCTGAATCCCTTAAAAAGTTTTCCAATCGCCCTCTGTTATGGCAGCAATTAGCCCGGCTATAGTTGAGGGTTGTATTTTTTTTGGCTTTTAAAATCGATCTGGATGTTTGGATGAAGATATACCAACGAAAAATTTTGCAAAGGATCTCCCAACCATAAACATGTAATGTAAAAAAATCGTAATGATTCAAAGGTGAAAATGTGTTATTGAAAATGATAATTGCTTCTTTTTTCATCGATTGAGGCAAACAAATTTTTTTATTGAATGATCTTTTATTAATGAACTGACCATGCAATTAATCAATTAAACTAAATCTTTAAAACCTTTTTTGGTGTGTTTCGTGATGCTCAATCTGTTATTGTCTTTTAGTATTTTTTTTAATTTCTAACGTACAATCTGATTAGCAATTTTGTTATTTAGTTATTCTTTAGAAGACCATGAGTTTTCTTTTTTGTTACAAAAATGTGGTTATACAGCGTAGAACAATAGTACATATAAAAAATTAAGTTGAGAAATTAAGAATGTTCTATTATGCACACCATCAATTAAGTTAAAACAAGTCAAATACATTATTATTTATTATTTATGCATCGTTATTGACGAAAGAGGTTTAATATTTGAAACTAGATACTTGGATGTCCCTGTGGTGTCTTTTGTCTCTCTTTTAGTATATCAAACACAGAAGAGCAAAATACGTACAATAATACACTACAGGTTCTAAAGAGCCTCTGTATATCACCTGCATCTTCAACGGTAAAAATCACAAACAAAGATTTCTATCTACATCTATTATACTTTTCAAGATAACAGGCCAAAGAAAAAAAAAATATGGTAAAATCATCTTTACAGGACAATAACTCTATCTAACCATGATGCTTTCTTTGTATATCTTGTTTTGCTGATCAAAGTTATAAACCTATTTTAATTTTCAAGATAATAGGCAAAAATGGAAAACAATGATAAGAATCGTATTTTAAGAGCAGTAACTCCAAGAGCGTGTCTTCTGACGATTTCAGCCAGTTTACTTTTTTGAAGATTTTTTCTTTCTGATCATTTTCCTGATTAAACATGTTAAAGTTTCTCTCTATTTTTTTTTTATAGATTTTAAGATAATAAGCAAAAAGAAAACAAAAAATAGTAAAATGTGTCATTTAAGAACAATAACTCCTATGAACAGTCGTCTGACAGTTTTGAAATAAATGGTGGAGCTGAACATTCTGAACATTTCTTTCCTGTCGATTTTCATTTTACTCATTTGTTTCATTTTTTAGCCATGTCAGCCATCTTGAAAGAGTTGGAACCATAGTTTTAGTACAATTACTTATAATTGGTTCTTAATGTTCGTCAATATTAATATTAATATTGTGTTTAATCACGGGAACAGCAAATATTTGCCTTCACCAAGGTCGCTTCGATCCGAAAGAAGTACCTTCTCTGTCCTATTAGAATCCAAATAATTGATGGTGGTAAAATATTTAACACAAAAAACCAACTCGTGGTAAAATCAGTATAAATTCAAGCCACCATGACTTATTTCTTAAGTATCAATCAGATAAAACCTGTAGGTTTAAAATAGATATAATATCTAATTGAAATTGTATGAGGAAATATGTCAAGCGATTAGGGATATGATTCTGTATTTAATTGTAACGTACTAAAATGACATGATACACTATCATGACTGAATAGTTTATGTAATGTTCATCATGTATAGTTTTTATATTTATGGTAGTTATGAATAATTTCTTTGGGGAAAAGCCATGAATGTGTATTTCTTATCAGTTTTCCAAGTTGTATTGCCATCTTTCTATTATAGGTTTCCTCTGGTCCCAAGTACGTCTGAAAAAAAAGAAAAAAAAGGAACTGTAACTGGTATTATGTGAGCTATTACCTGTGCATGTACACATGTATATATTTATATTTTCTACCATTATTTTGGTGATGTTTGCCAAAATAAAATAATTGATTGATAATTTTATGGCATACATCAAGGATATTAATTTGATATATCCAACAGGCCGGTAGATATACTTCTAATAAAAGTAAAAATGTCATAACTGATACATTTAACAACTTATGAGAACAAAATATGTTTCCGAACGTCTGAAATGTGTAATAAATAGAGATAGCTCCATAGTTGAGTTGCGGTACAGAAAATTTTCTTTCCGTTTGCACTGTTAACAAGTGTTTTTGTACTATTCATCAGAAACTTTGCATTTCCTTTTTAAAATTAACAAACATTTCATTCAAAATACGTTAACAATAGATTTAACTTGAGTTGGTTTTCTTCCGCATGCACTATCAACAAGTGTTTTAACCTTTTTTCAGTAACTTGTGATCTATTTTTAATATATAGAGTAAAAACAATTAAGAATGGAGAAATCTTGAGAAAAGGAGTTTTACATTTCTTAATAGTCAGCGTTTTAAAGAAAAATCTTCTGGTCAAGACATTTATTGCTACTTTTGTTTTAATCCTTATTTTGCGACATTTTGATAGAGTGTCTAATCACATATCGGATAATTCATGCATAGAAGGAGACTCTTATACTGTCCACACCCCAGGTCCTGTAGTACCGATTTGAGTTCATGCGATTTCCTAATGTTAAGATGTTTTTATCTAAAAATAAGCTGTATGGTTCTTTAGAAAATGGCATGCGTACCCCAACACTAAACAAAACATTATTCATTCCTTTAGTTTGACAGCAATTATCACGTTTCACATGAATTTAATGACATTTTACCTAACAGTTGTCAATGAGGTCATGTAGATTTGAATCAAAATTGATAAAAAATAAATAAGGCGTTGAGAATATTGTTTTATCGATTAATTCAAACTCAGTCAATGAACACGATCGTATGTCACTGTATAACTGTATGGGAGATTTGATCGGAATAGCTGAAAATTTCTATGACACATTTTGTGGCAACAATGATCAGTTTTTGCCGAACTGTTTATGGCATTGCAGAATAGTTGATGGACCAATAACTTTCATGTATAAGCTATTATTAATGCATGTATGCAATTTTACTGGCTTTCCTTTGACATTTACTCCACTGTGGCATTGATCTACCTTAATTGATTGTTCAAAAAAATTAAAGAAAACAATTACTGTACCGATAACAATTTAGTAATCAAAAGTGTCTGTCAAGAATCTTTTTATGAATAGAAAAGATACACCTTTTACTTATATCAGTTATTATAGATATAATTGCCCAAGTAATAAAAATATCCACTGATTTTTGTTTTAATCAATGTATTTATTTTTTACAAACACAATGATAACGTTCAAAGAAAATATAATTTGTCTTAAACATTACCATCTGGTTTAGATAACCAATGATTTGTTTATGAAAGAAATAAAATAACAAGTAAATGGTGAACAAACTTAACAGTTGCCAATTGTCCTCCATTAATCAATGTCTTCTATCACAAGCATTAGGAAATCCGTTTCCTAATGGTACAAATGGTAGATTAGTTATGTTTCTAAATTTTACGAAAACCGACAGTTTGCTCAACGGTGATGACACAGTACAGTGTAGTTTCAGATAATCGTTGCGGACGCACGACATTTAGGAATTCTATTTCATAAACTAGCATCGATACCTCTGCTGGTGGACTGTTAGTCCCCGATTGTACCATCAGCTCATTAGTCTGTACTGACATGATTTATAACACGCTACTCTAAAATTCTCCGTTTAAAGATTAAGAAATTAAGGTTCAATCTCCCTCAGGCAGATTTGACCATATATTAATTTGGATATTTGTCGTTTGAATGGTTTTATAAATTGTTTTGCGGTACTTGAAGACACGATATATATTCATTCCAAATATTTCAAAAGGGAGGGCAAAAAATCTATCAATATCATTTCCAGTTAATGTTAGCACATAAATAGACACAGGTATATTACAATTGACATTCATAACTTGCAGACTTCTTACTAGAAATTAATTGTTCGATATTTGAAATGACGAATTCATGCTTAGAATGGAAAGAAAATTTGACATGATCTTTCAGCTGTCGGCACTATGTTTAATACCTGGTTTCCCATTATAGGTATTACCTTTTAAAAAATCTCACTATTGGGGCAAATACTTGTAATGAAATAATCAAAATTACAGGTATGTTAATTAACAATGTCAAACGAGCTATTCGCCTACATACGAATCCAATGTAACGTTCGATTCAAAACAATTATAAATATTTCAATTTAGCAGATAATATTTTAAGAAATGAAAATGTTTTATAATCATACTTATTTTTTACTCTCTTGTTATAGAAAATTTTCACTAACATTTATTATGATATATATATAAATATGTTTTACGATCAGCGTTTTCAGAGTGTATGCAAACATCTGCTTTGCAACATTATACCAGGTTATATTTGTCAGGATCCTGTCATTCGTTTGTTGTTGCATATCATATGTTTTTTTCGTTCATTTTTTGTACATAAATCAGATCAGGCTGTAAGTTTTTTTCTCGTTTAAATTTTTTTTACATTTGTCATGTCGGGGTCTTTGATAGCTAACTATGAGGTATGGGTTTTGCTCATTCTTGAAGGCCGTATGGAGACTTAGAATTATTTATTACTATGTAATTTGGTCTCTGGTGGTGAGTTGTCGCATTGCCAATTATACAACATCTTCTTATTTTTATACAAACTTAAGGATGTTCGCTACCCTGTTTCAAAATAACAAGCTTTTTATATGACTGTCATAAATTGTTGGTACAAAAATAACGGAACTTAAAAAGCAGAAAAAGTTATAGGTGTGTGTCCTTGTTTTTGAAATACATGTTTAAGCCATTAAAAATTTGGTGGGGAAAGATTTTATCTAGATTTTTCTTTCAAAAGCTATGAAAAATTACAAGGATTTAATAAAATACCAAAAAAAATGACTTTTAAAACTTTTTGTAATTTGAATATGAAATGAAAAGTAGAAGTCAATGGGCCAAATTTTTAATAACACTACTGGATAAAACCAGAGGATTCCGAATATCTGACAAAAGTAAAAAAAGAAGACTAGCAAACATCCTTAAGTTGATCTATCATATTTTTCTACCCGCATTCAAAATATTTGACAATATTTTCTTTTTATCTGACCTCGGACCTTGATAAGCTTGATGGCCTAATACAGGAAAGAGAGACAACCGTCGGTGCAACAAGGCATATTAAGCGAGGAAGTGCAGAGATTGCACTGCAACAGTAATAAGATAAGAATTCTTCTGATAACTGGTTTGTTAATTATCTTAATCAATTTACAAATAACAACACAAGGTATGGTTCATTCTGTTCCATTATGTGGATTACAAAAAAATGTGGAAGATAATGATGGTTTGGTATTTAACGTCTAGTGCCAAAAATATCAGGCCTAGAATATACTTATGTGGGTGGAATATGAAACAAACTTATAATTTAATCAAAAACAAACTGCACAAATAAGTCATATTTAATATTGAGATAAACTCATGAACATTAATTTATACTTAAAGTCCAAGCGCGTTGAAAGTTCATGGATGGAAGGTGATCCATATAGTTCAGTGATTAGTCGGGACATTCTGAATACGAGCAACCGTTGACAATGGATAACGTGTGCAGAAATTGTCACATTTCATAAACTTTAATATAAGGACTCTATTTATTTCTATCCCCACGATATATCGCGACCATAAAAGAGCAGGAGAGTGGTTCCGTATAGCACTTAAGGTCAAGTTAAAACACACCATAATAACTTTGTTTTGAAATATAAATCAATCAATTCAATTAACTAATTTATACTTACAAAGTCTTAAATTTACATTGTTTGTATATTTGCGTGTGTAGTAGGTAGAAATAAAGACATGCTATTATTATCTAATGATTTAAATCATTCTTTTACAAAGGAGATAAACATCGTTCATATACATTTCAACAAAATAAATACTTTTTTTTGAATAGGAAAAAATCTCCGTGAAAAATTAATTTGCAAAGAGAACATAACGTTCGAAATGGCTTATACATCATATTACATTTTCTCTATTGGAATGATTTTTAATTCAATCAATAACAGTGGTGAGTAGCCACCTTTAATCGATTTTGTTGTCAACAATCATATTTTCCCGTTAACGGGTAACAGCTATAACCTATATGAAAGAGATAATTTTCCTGGATTGAGGAATAGATAAGACAAGATAAGACCATAACGATACAATTTTCCGTATTTCATATTAGGGGGACAAAAATAGTACGAGCGAGGTAAAAGTATTTAAAATTTTACAGAAGAACAATTCTGATAGGAGAAATTAACCGGTAGATGACGTCTATAAAGTCAATACAGTAATTTGCCAACAATAATTTTTGACCAAGATAACTTTCCGAGGGAAAATGATATAGCGTTTAATGGTTTTTTTAGCTTATATTTCACATGTTATCTAGGGTCATAAACACATGCCCATCCTTGACTTATACCGTAGAACAGTTATAACTTCCTGTAGTGTGAATGTCTGTTCAACTGTACATATATGTACGCGAGTTATACAAATTTTACCAATTTCACGACGAATATAAAATTATTCTTCTTATAAAAGCGATACATACATCTCTACAAAATGATAACGTCATTTGGAATGTTAAGGAATCTCAGTGGAAAATATACGTTCAAAGCAGAACGAAACGTTAACAATGGTTTATATCGCATATGTTATATTTTAAACTGCATAAGCAGTATATATTATATTTAGATGAAACAGTTTATTTCACGACGAATACGAAATACAACATTTTAATAACTTCAATTATTTACCAAAAAAAAAGATACATGCATTTCAGCAAAATAATAACGTCATTTGAATTCATGTTTACAAACCCCCGATTAGATTAATTTGCGTGCATAGTACTTTTTACGTCGTGTAATATGAGTGAAAAACAGTTTAAAGATTATTTTAATTATATCGATAAACATCGCGTTCAAGTATACTATAATAACCACTATGTAATATGTGACAAAAAAGGTTCGTGTTACGACAATACGAAACATTTAATTTAAATAATTCTTTTGCAAAAGAGATATATACATTTCAACACAATAATAACTTCACTTGAAATGGTAAGAATCTCAAAGGCAAATACAGTTTGCGAAGCAGAACACACCGTTAGCAATGGCTTATATTGCATATTTTATCAATTCTATTGATTTTTAATACCAATAGCAGTAGTTGTGAGTTTACAGTCGATTTTACTGACTTTTCCTGATTTTCTGATGGTGTAACAGATGCAATCGATATAAAAGGGAAACTTCTCTGGGAATGAGGATTAAATAAGACCAGAACATTACAACTTTTAATTTCTTATATCAGGGGGACAAAAATGGTGGGAGCGAAAACAAAGTTTCAAATTTCATCTAAAAAAAATGTTAAGGAGAAAATAGATTCAAGATAACACATTTTCAAATTATCATAAAACGTAAAATATACTTTAGGTGTAATACCACCAAATCATAGTACGTCACATTCGGTTGCATACGAAAATAGGTCGAAAAAAATATTCCCTTGAATTTGACAGTTGTAGGTAACTGATCCTACATTTCATTGCAGTAAAACATTTCTGGGTCATAAACATATATCTTGGGTATTTCAAAGCACCATTATTTTTTCATTTGGGGTTTCTATAGAATATTTTGGAAATTTGAGGTTACATGGTTACTAAATCTTGTACACAGGTTAAAAAAGGGGGAACATTTGATTGGTTAACTTCCAGTGATGGTTATTTTGTTATATGCAATGAAATGTTATGTGAAATTTTTTCTATAGTACTGGACAGGATAAAACTTTACTCATGATAAGTATTTCTTTATTTGAAACAAAGATAAATTCTGCACAATTTTTTGAAAAGTGCAAATTTAACAAAGAATAATAGGGGAAAATCAATGGTGGTATTACACCTAAATAGAAAAAATGTCCACTGTTCAAAAAATTATGCAGAATTGATCTTTGTTTCAAATAAAGAAATACTTGGCATGAGTAAATTTTTATCCTGTATACAAGGATACAACAGATACAGTTACGTCTGCCTCATATCTTGACGTACATCTAGAAATTGACAATGAGGGTCGGTTGAAAACAAAACTTTACGACAAAAGAGATGATTTCAGTTTCCAAATTGTGAACTTTCCATTTCTATGTAGCAACATTCCAACAGCACCTGCATACGGAGTATATATCTCACAATTGATACGATATTCCCGGCCTTGTATTTCCTATCATGATTTCCTTGATAGAGGGTTTTTTTTGCCCACAAAGAAGCTATTAAACCAAGAGTTCCAAATGGCGAAGTTGAAATCATCCCTTCGTAAATGTTACGGACGCCATCACGAGTTGGTTGACCATTATGGAATAACCGTTTCACAGATGATATCGGATATGTTCCTTATGTCGTATTTACAATCCACTTCCTTTTTCACCACGAATGTGACCTACCGAATTAGACTATTTACCGGATTTGTAATAACATGAGCAACACGACGGGTGCCACATGTGGAGCAGGATCTGCTTACCCTTCCGGAGCACCTGAGATCACCCCCAGTTTTTGGTGGGGTTCGGGTTGCTTAGTTTTTAGTTTTCTATGTTGTGTCTTGTGTACTATTATTTGTCTGTTTGTCTTTTTATTTTTTAGCCATGGCGTTGTCAGTTTATTTTCGATCTATGAGTTTGACTGTCCCTCTGGTATCTTTCGCCCCTCTTCTATATATAAAGGAGCAAATATCAAAATATGGAATTTTGCATTTAAAAAATAGTTTGCAATTCAACATTAAACGCCAAAAAATATTTTATTTCATAACTGTTTGTGTGCATATATGTATGATTCAAATCTATGATGGGTTCCATATCTATGGCAGATTCCTAATCAATGGCAGATATAACGCTACAAACGCCAAACAAATCAAATTTATGGCATTGTTTTTGTTTTCTCCAAATCTAGATTATTTGGAATATAAAACAAACACAGATATTTAACATGGGGCTCACAGATTTTTACAAATACAGGGAAACACTTTCTGCTTTCCCTCTAGAACAATTTGCCGATGGTTTAAAGGAAAATGTTACCTTTTATCTAGAGGAGGGACAATATCTGCTGTACCGTCCGAATCCCGCGATGAAGAAAGGCACCGCTGTTTTCAATAGTGAATTTTTTTTCGGAAAGGAGTTATAGTAAACATTTTAGCGTCGACATTGGCAAAGTATATAAAGCGATAGATGAAATTACAGGATATCACTATTAAGAGAGATTGATTAACGCTCTAATAAATATTATGTGAAAAGTCAAACTGTTTAATTCTTTTTTATAAAAAAACTTATTTCTTGTTTGTTAAGAGACTTCCATTTTTACTAGCTGGTTTAATAAATAAATTATACAGGTACCATGGACAGATGAGAAATGCTTATTTTCCAGGACACATCATTTTCATTCTGAAGTCTGTATTAGGGTATATCACTTCTACACTTAGGAAGTTTTAAGGTTGCCATCACGATTTGGTTGACAATTATGGAATGTTTATTTTACAAATGTTTATAGACATTCTCCCGTTGCCGTACATTTCCACTTGTTTAAGACAAGTCATTGATCGTATATGTACTGCCTTGTTTTCCATTTGCCAAAATCTGCCATAGATTTGTAAACAACAAAAATCCGCCATTGATTAGGAAATTACAAAACTTGCCATATATTAGGATTTTAAAACATCTGTCATGAATTTGGGATTGCATGACGTCATATTCACCATAGATTCGGAATTTGCCATAGATCTGGAACCCACCATAGCTTTGAGTCCTACACATATATATGATTCTTGATGCTCAATCTTTAGTTTTCCGTTTTGTATCACGGGTCTGTCTTTTGTCTTCGCGTCGTTTATTTTCTCACAAGAAGAACGACAGTCATTTTGCAGACACATAAATACACAATAAGGTTAATTGTGCGATGGTTTCATGTGTTTGCTTATGTAAATGTCTGTTCTTAAAATCGTAAAGATGTCATGAGGGAGGACCAAACCTTTGCTACAACTTCCACTCAGTGATTTCATATCGTACATAACTTCCATTTTGCGGAAGTTACAGTATGGAAAAATTTGAAATAAAGACGAAGAACTATGACACATGGTCAAATTTTTGTCTCTGAACAACGTCCATCTGCAAAAAAATCAAGCGTCACTGATGAGTCTTTTGTAGACGAAACGTGCGTCTGGCGCAAATACAAAATTTCAATCCTGGTATCTATGATGAGTATATCTGCCAAAAAAAAAAATCAAAATTAATTATAACCATTAATTATCCTATATACATACCTTTGAAAACATCAGTTTTCTCAAAATTTTACGAAAATTAGAATTGAAAACAAATCATAGTTACATCTCTTTTCTAGTGTTTTGAAACAAGAGCCTCTCAGACTACAGAAAAACACGGATTAATAGTAAAAATCAAACTTAACACCGGTATTCTTGACGCCCATCCATACTCAGTCCGTCTTCTGTGAAAATTTGATTTTCATCGTGGTGATTTTAGTCTTTGATACGGAGTTTTATTTTTAAACGGTTCAGGACTATTTTCCCATTAAATAATCGTTTTATTTAATTAAATTTGCACAATTGTTTGATTGATTTTTGGGGAAACACCTAGAGACAAGACAAAAAAACAAACATTAAAGACGTCGAGTTTAAGTTATATGCAATATAATCCATTTGGCTTACAGTATTTTCAATAGAGTCCCTCAGCAATATCGTAAAGGACTATTTTATCTACAATTATGCTCAGATCTTTTGACAATGAAAAAAAAAAATCTAAATCCTTTTGCACGGACCACTGGAAAAATTTCATGAATATGTAAAGGGCACATAATATTTACAGTACAATTTAATAGGTGTGAATGACAATACGCATAAATAATTACTAAGAAACTCCATAGTGAACAGTGAATTAATTTACCAATGACAAGACTACGCACCCAAATCAAAGAAACCTGATGAAGTTATAACATAACAACTGAGAATAACTTATTTAAAATATATGTAAATAATATAGAAAAAAAAGTACTGAACGTATTAGACATTTATTTTGAACTTTGATAACAGTTGACAGTTTTGTTTTCTGTCAAACTAAACGGAGCAAGGGGTCAATGGTTTTAGCGAATGAATCAGTAACATAGCTCCCTCTCATATTTTCGGGTTTTGAGTACATTTTCTGTTAAAATTTCAGGTGGAACTTGTACATTACCTTCTTATATGACTGGTACCTGGTATGATAATAAATTCATCGAGATTGAATTCAGCAGTGGAACAGTAATGTTTATGAACCAGTACAGCATTACAAGATCCGGATCTACAACTAATCTGACATGTCATATAAGTAGTGGCAAAAAATATGTAATGAGGTTTGAAATTTTATAGGAGCGCATCGTTATATATCGTAGTACAAATATATCGGGTCCTTGGCAAATATAATTGTATAACGGAAAAAAGGACTGGTGCCCATATGTTTGAGTGAAACTTACATGAGAAATATCCAAAGCAGGGACAAACACGTTTCTATACCTGTTTTCCTTCTTTGAGATATCCTTTGCCGCGTTTTACCAAATATCTTTGAGTCAAATGATACTCAGTTTTGTTACATAACAGTACCCTATTTATGTGATGTATGCAGATGACATTTTGTGTCATTTTTGAAACCTCATATAATCTAAAAAAAAGTTTAGACAACTAGCGGATAATTGTGGAGACTAAAAATAAACATATATTACGTTATATTCAAAATGCGAAAGATACCATGTCAAAAAATGGTCGTTAGTTGAAATGAAGCGGGTTCACTATTTCTGCAAAGTGTCCAAAGATTTAGTTATTGAAAAAATATCATGTCAGATTTGGTAAACATACTTTGCAGGTATCAAGACGATCAATTTAATACCGGTAATGGGAGAGTAATGGGAGAGCTGGCGCGATACCCCTTGTTTCTTGATAACCTTTTCATCAAAAGTAACTTCGAAAAAAATTCAAAAATCTAATAGAAAAACATATTACTAGAGTTGGTTTGGAATGATTTATCTAACATCAAAATATCAAATTAGAACCCAAGAATACTTCAGAATCGAAAGTCTAATATCAAATCATTTATTGTAAAGTTAGTTGTTTTGTTTATGACCAAAATATCTCAATTTCTTCTATTTTAAAGATATATGTAAAAACTTTAGACTTATTTCTACCTGGAACATACTATATACAAACCCCTTCACTCACAGTTTTTAAAAAAACTGAAGGTAGAGAAATTATGTCTGTCAAATTTCTTTTCAATAGGTGAATATAGTGGCTATGAATTTTATTTTAGAACATCTGACACAATATCTGCGACTATTTCTGGTGTTCCCGGAAATTACTACTACTTCTTGTGTATGGAAGTTACTAAGATTACAGATTATTCATTTTATCATTACATGCAGTCAGGTGAGTTACTTTAAAAAAGTATCTAATTGAGGTCATATTATAACGTGAAAGCAAGAAACTACAATCTCACACATCTGATTTTTTTGATGGAGACACCAACTGCACGACAAAAAACAACTAAGACATCTAGATGTCAACCTACTGTATTGACCAATAAATATGTGTCTTTACAACTTCTCAAGCTCTAAAACGACCCGCTTTTGTCAAAGTTTAGAGTAAATCAAACAGAGATCTTTTAATTTCTACAATCGACAACAACGTCTAGAAATAAACCTAATATGACAAAAAACTAATGAGGTTTCTACTTTGTAAGGAGCTAGGGGGGTTCTCGATCCTACGACTTTTTTTATATCGATTAGTTAACGAACAAAAACTAAATAAACATGAAAGAACTTATAACCAAAAAGAAAGGAAAACAGAACACACAGAAAAACCTTTTGAAATTATATGACAACTGATAAAACATGTTTTTGGCAAGATGCCTTTGATATGATTGTATGTAAAATGTAGACTTTATATTCAGACATATTAAATTTCTTAAAACATGTAAAAGAAATGAGTTCTAATTTTTTGTTTTAATAATCGATCATGACTGATTCTCCTCCTCCTCCTCCTTCTCATCATCATCATTAATGACATTTTTTAGACGAAGATACCAATGGGGAAAGAACTTTCGCCATGATTGATTCAGACGATGTAATCAGCATTTCCGACATCTGTACAACTACAACAGCAGCCGAACTTTTCCAGATCATGGTCCGTGCAGGTAGATATAACTTTATCGGATTACAATGTTATCGATGTGTGAGAAAGGGTGGAAGATTGGGGGTTTTATTTATGTATCATTAAATTTTACTTGCCTTTTTTCTCTTTTTAAAATATTTCCATTTTTTTTCCTTTTTTTTTCTTTTTAAATCCACATCGTTACTTTTTTGCCAATTTTTCTCTATTCTTCATTTTTTGCACATCATAGTTTGATCCGGTAAACCCAATCAAGGCCCTCTCATCTGCAAATGTATTTCAAAGAAATGGAATATCGCTTTCTAGTGGAAAAATTGGTTTCGATCCCGAAAATGAACATACTCTTATTAGATACTGGCTTCTTTGGATCTCGTTGACTAAACTATGGACTTATACGATTGAATAATCTTAATCTTCTTATTGTAAAAAGGGGTGGACAGATGTAAAGTAAAAAAAACAAAAGCCATAAGTGGAGAAAATACCAACAATACCACGGTCATTGGTGAAATGATAAATAGACAAACAGGGGTTCCCAAAACATTACAAAAAACAACTGGAGGTAGAGCATGACAAACTCCACAAAAATTCGGATGTACTGACATAAATAATTAAAGTTCCTTAAACAAGAAATTTAGTTGATATTGGAGCGTAGTACAGGTATTTAAAAAAATCCTAACGGGGTCCACTATGATGCTGATATATGATTAAAATAACATATATTTTTATGACTTTATATCCATTTTTTACTTGTTCCACTGAAAAATATGAAATCTGGTTTTTTGATCTCTTTGGTCTATTGTAACTAACTTTTATATGAATTATATGGTTTTTTTCTACAGTTATTCCCCATTTTAATGCATTCTAGCAGTGTATAGTGTATATCTCGTATGACCAGACATGTATTCTAAACACAATGCAATCCAAAACTATGAAAAGATAACTATTTTGCATCTTGAGTTTATCAACTTCTGTACCTAATTCCTAACCAAAATCAACAGAATATGCTTCTGATTTTTAATACCGAAATGACTTTTTAAGTCGTGCTATTTCTGAAGTGACGAAATTTTATTATATGTATATTTCATAAAGTTATTCTTGCAATCCTCGGAACTCCTCCTTCCCCACAAAGAGATGTTGCAAGCATTATCAAATATGCAGAGCTTAAACTACCACTATACGGAATCGGCTTTACTGCCACAATTAGTACTGGGCATGTCTTTGTATGTATACATACTTTGGATTGACAACACTTTCAGGATAGTAGTACCATTCTATTCCTCAGCAAATGTTGATGACACAGTATACGTATTTTCATATCAGTATCGAGGTACTGGCTTCGAGGCTTGTGATATCCGCGGAGTAATTTAAAATTTAATTAAAAAGGATTGATAAAGGTAGTTATATGTGTTTTTATGAATATGACCTTGTGGTATTGTTGTTCACCTGATAACAATAGAAAAAGTGACCAAAGTCAATTTCAAAGCCCCAGAACGCATGTTTTCTTGTTAATTTAGTTTGCGAATTCCGTACAGGTTTAGAAATAAACAAAACATTTTGAACAACTGAAATACTGGAAAAAAACGTTTACAATGTAAAAAATGACTTTTAGGTAAATCATCAGAACATTTTGTGTCAGTTGTGCCATAAACTAACATTTGATTATTTTTTAATTTAAATAAGTGGACAAACATGATCAGAACTAATATGTTTGTGAAATCAGGCGAAATCGATTTGTAATATAATTTCTGATTTTACACGAACAAAACATGGTGTTCACTAAAACATCTGAAAGGATTTGCGTAAACAAACACGGCTACCTGCAGGACACTATGCTTTGTGTGCGTAAAATTGTTAAGATATAAAAAATACAAACCTATAAAAGACAAATTGACCATAACATGAAGAAATTATTTCGATTCTAGGACAAATACAGTATTTTTATAGGTCGAAACGTACGAAAATACCTTAAAAATGTTTCCTACCCGTGGAGTATGTACATTGCATTTTCATATTTAATAAGTTTACAAACTAATACACAGGGTAAATATATGTTGTTTGATAAACAATATATATTAAAAGTTTATGCAAGCTGCTAAAATGTATATTATTTATCAGGATAATAATGAAAATAACGTTAGTTTTTGCGCATGTGTCAAACATATTTTGTGCTAATTAGAACACGGCTTGGTTTACAAATCGTAATAAGGACGTCATATAAGAATATAAGTAATTTGGCGGTTTAAAAGATCGGAAATAAGGATAAATGTTGGGTTATTAGTTCATCGAAGGTTTCTAATTACTATGATGGACAGTTTATTTTCATATAAAAGATTGAATACAGTTTATATTTACTAGTATTCATGATTGAATCAGTCGATGTGAGCAGCATTTCCGACATCTTCATAACTACCATACCAACTGAACTTTTCCATATTTATATATATTTTATATATTTGATTCTTTTTAAAATTTTTCAAATGAATATCTATAATATTATATCAATTATAAATTTTTGTGTTAATTATATCAATATAAAAAGTAAAATGACAAAAATACCGAACTCCAAGTGAAATTCAAAACGGAAAGTCCCTTATCAAATGGCAAAATCAAAAGCTCAAACACATAAGATGAATGGAAAACAATTGTCGTATTCCTGACTTGGTACAGGCATTTCCTTGTGTATAAAAGGTGGATTAAACCAGTTTCTATAGCTCGCTAAACTTTTCTATAGCATGACAGTCGCCTAAAATTCCATTATATTGAATATTATAGCATATTAGACGTTTCTACAAGAAAAAATATCACTTTTATATTAACAATCTCTACATAGAATGACTTTGGGCGAGAAAGACGAGAGAGAACTTCAAATTCATATCTTTTTTTTCGTAGGCTTCGAAAATGATGCTCTTCAACTTTGTTCAGAACCGTTTCTAGGCAACTTTTCGTTTATACTTTACGATACCTTGAATACTGAAAGTACTGGTAATCTGAATTCCTGCAGTGGGTCTAAAACAACTATCAATATGACGTACTCTACAGGAGCGAGCAACACACTCAAAGTAGGATTTTCAGGTAACTTAATGCATGTAAATTTTGTCACCCAAAGCATGGTATAACTTTTTCATCTAATACTTAGTATTCTTTCAATGGTTGGAACCTTTCACAATATGAGTGTGAAATCTGTATGTTATCCAAGCTTATAATGCATTTCACTTGCTTAAAACATAATGGCTTTGTCCTTCGTTGTTAAAACATATTAGGAAAACCGGAATACATTTCCCAGCGAATACTTTTCTAAATTAATGAAAAAATATTTGCAACGAAGCATGTATCTCAACTGTGACGAGGAAAGATATTTAAAAAGTAAAATAACAAAAATACCAAACTCCAATGACATCTTAAACGGAAGGTCCTTTATCAAATGGCGAAATAAAACGCTCAAACGAATGGAAAACAATGGTCATATTCCTGACTTGGTACAGGTTTTTCTTTATGTAGAAAATGGTGATTAAACCTGGTTTTATAGCTAGCTAAACTTCTCACTTGATTGACAGTCATATAGCATTCTATTGTTTTGACAACAATGTGTGAGCAAACATACAGACATAAAATGTCAAAAATTGGGGTACATCAATCGACATTGTGTTATAATCTTAATCACTATAAAAAAAAAAACCAAATAACTATATCAACAAAGAAAGTAACCCTACACCAAAATGGCATGTCGAGGTTTAAAATAATTCCACAATTATTAAGCCTTACGTGTTATTCTTATTTCAACGGACAAATCAGCGATAAAATAATTGTTTTAAACTTTCCATATTCTACAAACTTGAATGAACTTGATAATAAGAAAATTTTAAGATGGCTGGACAATGAGAAACGCAAGTGTATATGATAGTCCGATATCTACTTCTCAATTAAAAGTAAACGCATATTTTTGAAAGGTCGTATTTGGTCAAAATTTTTGGAATGTTCCTTTTTTTTTAAAACCATTTCAACATCGTATTTGATTTGGCTTTTAAACACTTTTGATTTGAGCACAAAGATGCGTCTCATGTTGAAGATACGTCAGTATGGCATACCAAATTGTACGACTGGTATCTTGATGAAATTGTATAAGTTTTAGACAGTTAAACACTGTTTTCATTGAACTGTCAATCATTCCTTTTAAACAACTACCAATTTTCTTTCTTTCTTCAGATGGTGGATACATAGGATGTATGGCAAACATTAAGTCAGGATCTCAATACTTCACAAGCTGGTATAATTTTGACAGTTCAACGACTCTAACAGTAAACCCTAGATTTACTTGCCTGGTAAAGATCCATTTTACCTAACATCATTTAAGTGTGTAATGGACCATAAGGCTTGCCCACACATTATAAGTTGAATTCTCAGTTATTTTGATATTCATATAGAACTTTAAAAGATGGTTTTATCTAAGTTTTAATAATATGAAAATTTTATTATTCAAATTAAAACCTTTATTTTTATTTATTGGGGGGACTCTAAATGAAACGAAGTAGCTAGTTTTCATGAAAATAATTACGAATTTTTTAATAACGCTTCAGGTCCAAGTTGAGATTTGTCTCACTGACAACCACTCATTGCACAATATTTTTGTCATTTGCATTATCACAGGTTACTAGTTATGATTTCCTCTTACCTTTGGCTTTGAAGTGCTTTACCAATTCTATAGGGTAACAATACGTTAAATAGGAGTGAATTATTGATAAAGCAGTCTTAAAATGCCCGTTTAATCGAACGATACATGTACTAGTATATGGAAAATCTGTCATCGTTGTTTATATATAAATTCATTTGTATTATATTTGTTTGATGATCATTACATTATAGTTTTCGAAGAAACGTTGCTAACAGAAAATTGAGTATTATAATTGACTTATCTAATATGAAGAATACATTGCTGATGTATATTATTTCATCTCAGATAAGTATTCATTCCTCCGAAATTTTTTTTTTTAGATTAGACAGCTGTTACAGCATGCTCAAATAAATATTTTACAAGACCTAAATAAACGTATGATATTATGTTACATAATTGGATATAAATTACACAGTCTGATATTGTAGATTTCGTCATTTGACCGTTAAATATTCAGCAAATTAAATAAAGGCAACAGTAGTATACCGCTGTTCATATTATATATAAAATATTTCTATATATATATTTAGATTGTTAAATATAATGGAACTAGTGTCACGGCTTCGCAGAGGGTGAGAATGTGCCATGAAGGTCAGGAATCAACATCTAAACCATCCGACACAACTCCATTGTATCCATCTTATACACAGACCGCAGGTGGTTTGCTCACACTGACTCCATATGGTAAGATGATGAAGAATCGAAATAAAAAGAATAAAAACTACTATATACAGACTATAAGACGTAACAATCAAATTGAAATGAATTGTCTGAATGAGTTGTTTTTGATTTCAGACTACGCGATAAATCATGTAGAACTATTGTTGATATATACTCTCTTGAAATGTTCTCATTTGTGTGTTGTGAGTAATTAGCGGTCTGATTAATCAACACATAGCTAGTTTTTTTGTTCACAATATCAAAGTCAAATTCCCTCGCATTAATGTAATAAGAAAAAAGGTAAAACAAAATAAGGTCAGTTGCAAGTTCACAACGTTTATTAAAACTGTTCACCTTGATGCCTTTCGATCAATATAACTGTTCTTTATTAAATGATTTCACTTCATGGCTAACAATAATACGTGCAGGTCATATCTGGAAACATACTTAATAAAATAGAGGCGAAAGATACCAAAGAGATAATCGAACCGATATGTCGAAAACAAACTGACAATGACACGGCAAAAACGAAAAACGATCAAAATCATATAACAGTATACAAATCAAAACATAGAAAAACTAAAGGCTGATTAACACGAACCCCACTAAGAATTGGGGTGATCATAAGTGCTCCGGAAGTGTAAGTAGGAATAGGATCCCATTTACAGGATACCAGTTCAGTACCCACGAATGAAGTCCCTTAATAAATCTACCATCTTTTATCATGTTTATATGTGATATTGAACCGAGATGAAAATTATGTAAAGATGCTTAATTTTTTAGTATATCTAAAGGGTATTCATTAAACTTTCAACTTCTGTTAAATTTTAAGTGATTCTGAAATGTATAGGGTGGATGATTGTCTGAGTAAATGGTCCAAATCTATTTTCGTTTTTAACCAGGAAGTTAATACAATGACCCTATTAATACTCAAAACAGTATTGCTCTCTTAAATGCCAGTCATGACCTTCCAAGATTTCTCCCAGAAACCATGATGGGGTCTACTAGTATGAGAAAGTAATTGAAATTTTCCAGTCTAATATAGGGAATAAAAAATCTGTCCCTCAATTTGGATAAAATTGCATTGAAGTAATGGGGGAAATAATTGGGTCCCCGTTCCAGTAGATCCTACTCCACATGTTGCACCCGTTGTAATGCTCATGTAAGTACAAGCCTGGCGATAAGTATAATTTTGTTAGTACATCTTCAAGGAAAAGAGGACAAATAGTGGTTACGACAATTATATCCGTCGTAATCTTTGAAACAGAAGTTCTATAACTATCAATCAAATCGAAATGGAGTCCGTAAAATTTCCGAAAGGATGATTTCAACTGTACCACTTTGAACTCTTGTTTTGATACTTTCCTTGTAGGTATCAAGGAAATAATGATAGGAAATACAAGCTCTGTAATATCGTATCAACTTGGACATATATTCTCAACTTGCAGGCGCTGCTGGAATGTTGCTTTATATAAATGGACAGTCCACTCCGATTCAAACTTCTCTGAAACTAACATCATCAAGACATTTAACTTTTTGATTGACAATATATTTGTATGTTTTAAGAACGTGTTTTTATTTGCCAATCGAAATTCCTCTTGGAACTTACAGTGTTCCTCTTCTGACTGAATTTTTACCTTATTCATATGAGGCATATTTCTTACAGAAGCTTAAAGAAAGAATGGAAAGACACTTGCGTTATCCTTCAACTTCACGTTCCGTTATTGATGATGTTCTTTCACTTAACAATTAAAAGTTTTGCTGATTTTGAACGCATTAATTCCACCGAACTTGAAAAAATGATACCTCAAATGCAGTTAAAAATGCCATATATCTTGACCTACAAAACTAAAAACGGAAAATGATGGTTGGTTGAAAACAAAACTTTACAACAAAAGAGATGATATCAGCTTTTTAATTGTTGAACTTACATTTGTATTACGAAACATTCAAACATCGCCTGCATATGGAATAAATATCTCCCAGTTGATACGGTAATCATGATCTTGTTATGTGGAGCATTTGGTCTGTGGTTCGTGTATATCAGTCTTGTATTCTATGTTACATTTGTGTTTGGTAAAACGATTTTGGTTTTGTCAATATCAATTTAATGTCATAGTTTTGTCTCTCTCTTTCTTCAAATTATGAGTAACTGTTATGATTGTCCCTTTTAATATCTTCCAACTTATTTTTACCGCTGAAAAATAAGAAGATGACAATAAAAAGCTGAAAAGGTCACGTTTTAATATGGATGCTAGTTTGAGGTTGTTCATCCGTGTCAATATCAAGCAGAAATCGAGGTGTGAAGTAAATCTTCTTGTTAATGTATGCTTAATATTCTATTATATACTGATAAGTCACAACAATAACACGTCGACATAAATATGTATTTCGCTTATAAAGATGAAGTCGTTGGTTTTTCTTTGTTGTTGACATAATTAGTATTTATTTTCTTCAGAAACTTGTGTTGTAAGTATAAATACATTTATTTGATCAAATACACATAATTGATAAGAAAAAGATTCAAAAGGTAACCTGTTTATAAAAAAATGAAGAAAAATATTTTAACTACCTAATACTAAGAACTACATAAAAACCTAAATAACAAATGAAATTGATAAAAAGATATCAATACAAAAAAGGTTATAACTATAATAATAATGATAATAACAAAAAAACATACAAATCACAACTGCTCTGTTTATTGTATAGTAATCTGTATAATTTTGTACATGTTGTATTGATTATTCGAGGACCAAGAATGTAGACAAATATTAAAATATTCCATGTGTATTTAATACGATTTTATGACTATGCTTTGCAAAAGATTAAATTGGCACTAAAATTTGATAATAAATATAATGAATAAGCAAAACAGATTTACTTTTTTACCATTTACATTTTTTTTTACATTCTTAAAATTTATTTTCACAATATATTCTAAATAATGGATTTAATATTTGTAAATGATGTTGAATTAAGGATCAGATATCGGTTACTAAAAGACATTATAATATGTATTGTTACGACGCAATTAAGGAGGCGTCAGGGAAAAGATTAAATACAAAAAAAAAACACAATAAAGTTTCTTTTGTACAAGTGATCACAAACTAACCGCACTGTCCGATATAAAAACAAATTCTTTGGTTCTCTATCGTACTAGTGTATAGTTTGTTGATTCTATCTTTTCCGAACGAAATGTCAAATCTTCAATCCAAGCATTTCCGATTAATAATTTTAATTGAAAATCTCAAAGCTTCACATATTCAATTATTGTAACACAGTTCATAAGCAGACTGTTGTTTATAATGTTTATTCCACCATTAATTATTAAATCCCACAAATGATTTTTTCAAAGTAAGTAACGCACATATCAAGTCAACGAAGTAATAACACAAAATAGTATTTGGAACTGGAATGGGTTCCTGTTCTTTGTGTCTCTGTATGTACTTACCAAAACAGAAAGTTCTAGAATTCTAATTGTATATTACCATGAAAGTTATTATATGATTTTTATAACATTCTTTTAGAAACACCTGCAGCTTTCAATTGATCAATCATAAAAGCTTGTCAACACTAGCTGGCTGACATTTAACATGTAAGCAATCGGTAGAGCTTGACAGATTATATTAAATCAATAAAACACAAAATATTTTTAAAAATACATAAACATTCTCAATTTTATAAACAGTAATATAACAATATACATATGTTTCAGGATCAACATCGTTCCGGTTGTGTGCAAACATTTTGTTGGACTCCTTTGCAACACTGTTTCTGGTTATGTGCTTTGTATTTGATGGCAACTAAACACATTTGGTAGCATGAAACTCGTCGATCCAATTTAAATTACTGATAACTATATAATTAGATATAGTGAAATAATTGGAATAGCAGCAAATAGTGTATTTTTTACAACACCCAATTTTGTCAGTATAAAGAAACTACACACAGCTGTCATACACGTGGGAGGTTTATCTAGCTATAAAACTAGGTTTTAACCAACCTTTTGCCCCGGAAAATGCATGTACAAAGTCAGGAATGTAAAAGTTGGTTTCCATTCGTTCCGTTCGCTGATATATTCCAATGCTTGATTCTTTCAGGTTTTATGAACCCTTTTTGAATTTACCATGGAGTTCAGTATTTTTGTTCATACTTTAAAAAATAACTAAAGTGTTTCAACTCCTTCAAGCAAAGTTGACTTTAGATGGATTTGGCTGTATTCAAGGTCCATTTTTTGTCATATAGCTTTCAACTGTTTCGGTTCTTAAACAACCTTGGCTTTCAAATATTCGGCTTTGAGCGTTTCCTGATGAAGGTTAATCCAGAAATAAAATCTATAACGTGTTGTTTTCATTTTTTGTAGTAATTTCTTTGATCGCTTTCTATCTTATTTGGCTCTTTAGATACAACAAAAAAAGGAATGACAAATACAGGTATAAAAGACAACATTACGCAAAATGCTGATACAAGGGTGTCAGCAGTTAGGAGATAACTGTATTGTATTTTAAGCTCCGACGGCATCAATTGTTGATTTGATGGTCGCAAATTAAGTTTACTGGTGACGCATTAGCGGAGCCAGTAAACGGGTATTTGCGACCATCAAATCACCAATTGATGCCGTCGGAGCTTAAAATACAATATTGTTATATCCATTCTTATGAAACTGGCAAAAAACAACGTCAAATCGTAGATACAATCGTCGTCTGCGCTTGCGCGTACGTTTTTATAGCATCAATTGTGAATTGATGCCATGAAAATTGGTGACGTTATCCAATCAAAATGAACGTTACAAACAATTCTGCATTAGACTTATTATTAGCTAGTTAACAGTCTACTTGCAATTTCATTTCCCAATAAGTAGGCATACCAAATATCTATGTTTGTCAATAATGTAATAATATAAATACCGAGCTCCAATATAAATTCAAATAGGGTACTCCATCAATCTGATTATAATATAGATCCTGTGTCCATGAGTTGCTTACAAGGATATGAAAACGCTCCGTTATACTTTCTGTTTCAAAGAACTTTCGGAATCCTCTGGTTTTTATTAGATTAATACATGTACACGCCTTAAAAAATTTGAAAGCTGATATTTCATTGGCTGATCTACTAAATACTAGAACAGAAAGTCAAATTGAGTGTTTTCAAATTCTAGTAAACAAAGCTTAGACACAGGATCGGTATTTTAATAAGATTGAAAGTCCTTAAAGGAGACAAAGCCAAACGCCCGACCATATTAACCAACGAAAAGACTGGAAACAACTGTCCTATTCCTTAATTGGTATGTTTTTTGTGGGATGTATATATACACCCGCACGTTTATTTTCTATTTAGAAATTGTTTTATCTATATATAACATCATACATATTTATTATAATGTTAAATCCTAACTATCCTACTGCCTGTCGTTACTTTCATTTTGACATTGCACAAGTCGTATCTTCTTTGACTGTCCATGGTGTTAAAACACTAAATCCCTGCCTGGGATGTGTTTAAATTGATTTTAAGTCTCTGATGCATGATTTTTTATTATTATTTTTTTTTGGCTTTTAACTAGCGTTCAGTAACTGCGAGTACTCTCAAATCGTACTTTCGTATTAATTTGACCTGTTGACACAATTTGTAATGCATTTCTGTTATTCAATGTTTACTTATTTTGTGTTATATCTCGTCTTACAATTTTTAAATATGTACCGCCCTTGATAAGTATTAATTATGACGATAAATTTTCAATTCTGTACTCGTACTATGAAGAACAAATTTATTTTGTAAAAATGTTTCAGTACTCCTAACAACAAAATTATTATATTTAAATTTACCTGTGTAAGTTACTTTATTTAACGCCATTTTGTCCTAGGTCAAAGATGTCTTTTTGACATTGAAACATATTTTTTATTTATATTGTGTCATGGATCAACTTATTCGTATATTTACTTGTTTGTTAACATGTCTTTTTGATCGAGTTAAGCCATTTAAATTGATATTTTATTGTGTGTCTTTTTATGTTGTAATGTTACACTACTGTTTTAGGTTAGGATGAAGGTTGACGTCTGTTGAAACGTATAAACCCGCTGCATTTTTATGCATCTATCCTAAGTCAGGAGCCTGTTGTTCAGTGTTTGTCGTTTATTGGTGTGGTTCATAAGTGTTTATCGTTTCTCGTTTTTTATATATATTAGACCGTTGGTTTTCCTGTTTGATTTTTTTTACACTAGTCATTTTGGGGCTCCTTATAGCTTGCTGTTCGGTGTGAGCCAAGGCTCCGTGTTGATGGCCGTACTTTGACCGACTTGGATGGAGAGTTGTCTCATTGGCACTCATACCACATCTTCTTATTTATATAGACAGTGTCTGAAAAAAAAGGTGATTAAACCTTGTTTAACAGATAGCTAAACCCCCACTTGTGACAGTTCTTTTAAGTTCCGTTATATTGACAAAATTGTATGAAGAACGAAAACAGATATATTTGGTTAACATGATATTAGCAACATTGTGTAAACAAGCATCATCAATATAAAGCATTACTAAATTAAATAATCCAAATAAATAGTCAATTAAATTTAACAAAGATGCAAACAAAAAAAGTTGTATAGCTGATAGTTAATTTAATCTAGTACACTAAATTAAAATATAATATACAAACTTGCCAACATTATACGAATCAAGTT